TTTTTTTGGAGGGGTTTTTGCTATAGGGCATGTGTGCTCGCCAGAAAGACAGAGACAGATCAAGACAGAAAGTGAGAGATAACCCCCCCTCCCCCCGGGGGGGAGATGGCCATGACATAATCCCTTCTTCGCTCTCCTCTTGGGATTTTGGGCATGCACGCACATGTGCCCAATGTGAATTTCAAGCCACCAGGTCAATCTGAACTGCGTCGGCCATGTGGGAGTCCAGTGTCCCAATCACCATGCTACCTGCTGGCCCCTTCACTGATTTTCAGTGAGAGACTTTTTCAATTCCATTGGCTCTACTTCCTTCTACTCCTAATTTAATTTGCTTCATAACTTAAAGCAAGTCTCTTAGGTATTACTTCTTCATTTTACACTGTTGGGCGTGTTTTCAAGAACTGAAGAAGTAATTCATTGGAATGAAATAACTAGCTAAACTTTCTGCACTTCTCCTTGCCTTTTGGACATGCATTTTACTACTTTAAAAATACAGAACAGTGTTGCAAAGTTGCTATGGTGACAACTGACAAATACCACTAAAATGATTATGATTTATAAGTAATTTTCTCCTGCTGTTTTAATCTGATATAGGGTTACTCAATGACACTTTCTCACATGACATCAGGTTTGGGGTATCTATTACTCAGGTACTATTCCTGTCAGCCTCTCTCTATTTTGCCAGTGTGTTATACCTCAATCTTACTTGAAGACAAAGATCTAACAAAGAAAAGTCTTAAAAACGTTAAGTAAAATTATTTGCTTTACAATTTATCCTTCATATCCAGTTTGGTTAGCTTGTTACACAGTAAGAAGTAGAATATTGGGTTTTTAACTCCTATGCATTAAAACCAATCAAAAAGTTATATTCTTTTTTGTTTTATACTTACTAAGCCTTTAGAAATTATGATGGACCATGAAGTTAACTTAATTATTTAAGAGCCACCCCATCTTGTTATATATATATATATGTATATATATATATATATATATACATATATATATATATAACAAGATGGGGTGGCTCTTAAATAATTAAGTTAACTTCATGGTCCATCATAATTTCTAAAGGCTTAGTAAGTATAAAACAAAAAAGAATATAACTTTTTGATTGGTTTTAATGCATAGGAGTTAAAAACCCAATATTCTACTTCTTACTGTGTAACAAGCTAACCAAACTGGATATGAAGGATAAATTGTAAAGCAAATAATTTTACTTAACGTTTTTAAGACTTTTCTTTGTTAGATCTTTGTCTTCAAGTAAGATTGAGGTATAACACACTGGCAAAATAGAGAGAGGCTGACAGGAATAGTACCTGAGTAATAGATACCCCAAACCTGATGTCATGTGAGAAAGTGTCATTGAGTAACCCTATATCAGATTAAAACAGCAGGAGAAAATTACTTATAAATCATAATCATTTTAGTGGTATTTGTCAGTTGTCACCATAGCAACTTTGCAACACTGTTCTGTATTTTTAAAGTAGTAAAATGCATGTCCAAAAGGCAAGGAGAAGTGCAGAAAGTTTAGCTAGTTATTTCATTCCAATGAATTACTTCTTCAGTTCTTGAAAACACGCCCAACAGTGTAAAATGAAGAAGTAATACCTAAGAGACTTGCTTTAAGTTATGAAGCAAATTAAATTAGGAGTAGAAGGAAGTAGAGCCAATGGAATTGAAAAAGTCTCTCACTGAAAATCAGTGAAGGGGCCAGCAGGTAGCATGGTGATTGGGACACTGGACTCCCACATGGCCGACGCAGTTCAGATTGACCTGGTGGCTTGAAATTCACATTGGGCACATGTGCGTGCATGCCCAAAATCCCAAGAGGAGAGCGAAGAAGGGATTATGTCATGGCCATCTCCCCCCCGGGGGGAGGGGGGGTTATCTCTCACTTTCTGTCTTGATCTGTCTCTGTCTTTCTGGCGAGCACACATGCCCTATAGCAAAAACCCCTCCAAAAAAACAAAAAAGCTCATATTGGTTTAGTTGTTGATATTCACTCACCATTACTGGTTCCCTCCTCCCCCCAGGTACTCCCCAGTGAAGGGAACCAATTTTATTTCAAGCTAAAGGGGAATGGTTATATTCTCACCTATTTAAAACATGTTTTATCTTTTCATCCTTCAGATGCTATGTAAAGCAGAAGACTAGATCCAAGAAAGGGGAGGAACCATTCCCAGTATTGGACTATCTCTTATCTATTATTCAGTTACCCCCAAATGAAGACACGACTTACCTTTCACACACCTGGGCAGTTCTTGTAGTATTGCCTCATATTAGGTAAGAAAAGAAGCTGTTTCATTTCGAAAGAGCTACTTAACATGCTAATTAAAATGTACTAGCCATCGTTGTCATTCTGTGAAAAAGACTGTGTACACTTTTTTCTGTTTCTCCCCACTTCTTGGACAGACCTCTTGAGAAAGAGAAGGTGATACCTCTAATCACACGCTTCATAGAGTCACTCTTCATGGCTGTTGACAGAGGGAGCTCTGGAAAAGGTCAGTTATAATCACCACTTGTTCTCTTCTCCTTTTCTGGCACACCCACAGTAACCATAAACACGTAAAATACCAGAGAATAGTGTTAACATTGTATTCTGGCATTACCCCCTGTATAGTAAACCCGGAACAACAGATAAAATGAATGCATTTCACTTGTACCTCATAATTGGGCTGAGCAAGTTAAACTGGCTTGAACATAAGGAAGGCAAAGTGTCATATCTAAAAAATCTTGTCATGGCACAGAGGACCATTCATGTTTAAGCCCCAGCCTGTGTTTTGTCCCCATCTCCCACACCCCTCCTGCTCTTAGCATAGACTTTATGCTCCAGGCATTTCCACTGGTTTACCCTAAGCAAGATGCATTCTTTTCTATTTTTATTTTTTCAATTTGTGTGAAGGTGCATGCACTTGCTGGAGAGAGGGAAAGTGAGAAAGCACCCCCATTAGGGACTGTTCATAATCTCTTCTCCTTCACCTCTCCTTTGGGGATTTTGGGATTGGGAGTGTGCATAAACCTGTACCTGGCATGTTCCTCAAGCTGCCACACCCCGAGCTCAGGATCTGAACTAGGCAGTTGGCCATTTGGGGTCCAACTGCCTTAACCACCATACCACTGGATGGCCCAGCTTCTTTTTTTTAAGCAACCCTTTGAAAATATAAAACAACTTGGGACCAGCAGTTAGCGTAATGGCTATGTCACTAGACTCCCATGTCGTCGACTGCGGTTCGAGTCCCGGACCCGGTGTCTTAATCTCATGGCAGGCACGTGTGCATGTGTGCCCAGGATCCCGAGAGGAGAATGGAGGAGAAGGGATTGTGGCATGGCCATCCCTCCTGGGGGTTGATTTCTCACTTTCTGTCTCTCTGTCTCTCTCTGTCTTTCTGGCGAGCCCACACGCCCTATAGCAAAAATAAAACCTCTCCAAAAAAGAGAGGAAAAAATATATATATATAAAACAACTCTTAGTTTATAGTTCATGTAAAAACAGCCTGCACACTAGATTTGTGGGCCATAGTTTGAAGACTTTGGCCTAGAGACTAAGCAAATGTTTGACTAATACCATTAATAAATAAGTTATGGGTAGTAGTCATTGGATTAATGACTACTTGGCACAGTAGTCATTATTTCTATAAATAGCAATTATTAGATAAACGAGATGTTTGATAGTTGTGTCAAAGAAATAATACAGTTATAATACAGTTGGGACCAGCAGTTAGCATAATGGCTATGTCGCTGGACTCCCATGTAGTTGACCGCGGTTCGCGTCCCGGACCCGATGGCTTTAAACTCACACCGGGCACGTGTGCATGCGCACCCAAGATCCCAAGAGGAGAATGGAGGGGAAGGGATTGCGGCATGGCCATCCTTCCTGTGGGGTGATTTCTCGCTTTCTGTCTCTCTGTCTCTCTCTGTCTGGCGAGCGCACATGCCCTATAGCGAAAAACCTCTCCAAAAAAAAGAAAAGAAATAATACAGTTTCTCCTGTTTATCTGCCCTTAGGAAACTTATTTGTTCTTTGTCAAGCTGTAAATACACTGCTAAGTTTAGAAGAATCTTCTGAACTTCTTCATTTGGTTCCTGTGGAACGTGTGAAGAATTTAGTATTGTAAGTAAGCATATCCTCCATTCAGCTTAGTAATAAGAAAGATATAGAAACTTCTGTTTCTGTGAAATCTTAGACATAATAAAAGTCATTTTGATCTATTTAATAACCTGACTGATATTCAATCACATAGTGAAATTTAATATTGATTTAGATCCTCCAATTAAAACAAGCACATCTTTTGTCTTTGAAGATCCGTCTTTATAAAGGGGTATTTTGTTGTGTATGTAAATTCGTGTTGTAAAGTCTTAAAGAGCATAATGGTGATTATTCCCCATCATAATTTTGTGCAGTGTTGACATTTTGGTAACTTCTTTGGTGGTTTGGGCATACACGTTCTTACCATATTTTCATAGTCTGCCTTAGCTCAGCATGATCAGAATTTCAGAAGATGTGGTTGTAGCCTTTTTGCCACATACTGAAACAATCAGTTTGTTTTGTTTTGTTTTTTAAGTTTAGTTTATCAGCCCCTGATTTTGGTTGTACCGTCTAGACTTGGCTTCTCCTCCAACCCTTCCATGCTGGATCTCTCGCTACCCTTCTTGCCCCAATTTTCTTTTCTCCGTGACACTTGGCACTATCATATTTATCAATTATTTATGAGAGAGTCTTCAGGAAGTTTATGAAAAATGTGTGTTATTAAAAAACTATGCATGGGGGGACCAGCAGTTGGTGTAATGGCTATGTCACTGGACTCCCATGTATTTGACTGCAGTTCGAGTCCCGGACCCAGCAGCTTAAACTCGTACTGGGCGCGTGAATGTGCATGCCCAAAATCCCGAGAGGAGAATGGAGGAGAAGGAATTGCAGCGTGGCCATTCCCCCAGGGGGTGATTTCTTCCTTTCTGTCTCTTTCTGCGAGCACACGTATCCTATAGCAAAAATCTCTCAAAAACAAAACAAAAAAAACTATGCGTGGGTTTCAAACTTTTGTACCAAAATAAACTTGTACATTAATTTCTGTGTCCATGAACTTTTTGAAGTCCCATGCTATCTGCTGGCTACTTTTTCCTGCTTGAATATAAGTTTCAGGAAGATAGGAATTTTGTCTTTTGTTTGCTGCTGTATCCACAGTGTCTAGAAAAGTCACTGGCTTGTAATAGGCACTCCGTAAATATTTGTTGCGTAAAGAAGGCATGTAGAAGTTAATCAGGTTGCCCAAGGTTACCCACTGCTGAGTGATAGAGCTGGCTTCAGACCTGGGCTGCCCTTACCAGAGCTGTGTGCCAGACCTCTCCTTGTACCGCATCCTCATTAGCCCAGGGCCTGGTGCAGAGCAGACACTTCGCAGACACCCTGTGTCCCATTTTACGTGATAGGCCCTTCTATTGATAACTGTGGAGATCGAAGAGGGAGCGTGTGGTTTGTGGTCAGAATAGCATATTCTGTCCCCACCTAGCCTCTAGCCAGCATGTGTCCTTGAGCACATCACTCACTTTGGCTAGGCCTTAGGTTCTTCAGCTGGCTAAATATCCAGGCACAACTTTTACACACTACCTTGTGTGTGTCCTTCATCAGTGATAATATTCTGTAGGTTATATTATAGTCAAAATGCTTTGAGGTATGTGATGCACTTTCGGTCTGATGTCTCGTTGCAGAATGTTTCCTTTAGAGCCATCTGTGTTGCTGTTGGCTGATCTCTATTATCACAGATTATCCTTATGTGGCTGCAAAGGACCACTTTCTGAGGAAGCTTTAATGGAATTATTTCCTAAGTTGCAAGCAAACATTTCAACTGGTGTATCCAAGGTAATACTGTATGTGGTGTGTACTCAGACTCTGTTTTTTTGTTTTTTGTTTTTTTTTTTTAAGAGAGTTTTTTTGCTCTAGGGCATGTGTGCTCACCAGAGAGACAAAGAGACAGAAAGCGAGAAATCATCCCCTAGTGGGCATGAACACACATGTGTGAATTTTAAGCCGCCAAGTCTGAGACTTGAACCACAACTACATAGGAGTCAGCAATGTAACCAATACGCCATCTGCTGGTCCCCTCAGACTGTTTTTAAAAATACCAAGTCTAGGTCCAGCAGAGGACTAGGGCAGAGTTGAAAAGTTTTCAGTTTAGGAAGTTTTCCAGGTGATTTTGCAGCTCCTTCAGGTGTGGAAATACCTGGGTATGTTATTGAGGAATCAAAATCCCCAGTTCAATTGTGTCGCAAACCTAATCAGTTTCTTTGTGCTTATTTACACAGAACAACGTGGTTTTAGGGGCAACTTTACCTTCTAATTCTAGTGTGATTATTATTATTTTTAAATTTTTGCCAGGGGGACATATGCACTGACCAGAGAGAGGCAGACAGAGAGAGAGAGTGAGAAAGCACCCAATATGGGGAATAGTCACATGGCTGTCCTTTCTCCATTTCTTTTTCCTTTTGAGATTTTGGGGACAATAAACACACATGCCTGGCATACTTCTCAAGATACTGGGTCCAGGACTTGAACCATGCAGTTGGCCCTTGTGGAATCCAGCCACCTTAGCCATTGGGCTGCTTGCTGGCCCTCTAGTTCACACTATTATTAATTGTTCCATGTATTATTTAAAGTGTTGTTTGGTGTTGGATAGAAAATACGGGATAGAATAAGCATGTATTACTCTGGGCAAATGGTAAATTTGTCTTGCTTCTATAAAACTTACATGTCACTATGAATCTGTCTTCCTACAGTTACAACTTTGGGATTTTAAATATGTCTTTTATTTTTCTTTAGATTCGGCTTTTGACAATAAGGATCCTGAACCACTTTGACATTCATCTTCCAGAATTGATGGAGGTATTTTTAACTCTTTGGACAGTTTTCTTTTTTAAATATAATTGAAAATTTTTTTTCATTTCCAAAATAATGTCTTCATAGGATATTAAAACAGTATATAAATATCATAAAATCTTAGTTTTAAAAAATATTTCTTATTCCTTCAACCAACAAGGTCACTACTGAAAATCCACAGTTAATTGGGGAATACTTTTCAGACATTTTATATGTATACATAAACAAATTGTATCATGAGGATTATCCGCAACAGTACCTCCAGTTCCACCTCATTTTTTTTTTAACTAATTTCTGTGCTAAACCTAAATTATCTACTGAAAAGTAAATGCTGTGAGGAAAAACTGAATCATTTAACCAAAAAAGTGTTGCATTCTTCATTTAAAGCGTTAACATATTCCAGTTTTTCTCTTTTAGATCTTTGGTCATACTTAATATTCTTGAAAAATCACCATGCTGACCTGCCTCCTTGCTTTTCTCTGTTGCTCAGGATGACGGGCTCTCAGAGCGGCAGTCTGCTTTTGCTATATTACGCCAGGCAGAACTTGTCCCAGCAACTGTGAATGATTACAGAGAGAAGCTTCTTCATTTAAGAAAACTCAGACATGATGTGGTGCAGACTGCAGTTCCAGATGGGCCATTACAAGAGGTAAAAATAGTATCCTTTTTGTTTTTTCCTTAGTTTATGTTTTAAATTCCCTTTTTGGAAGTATATCAATATATATATAGTTGTCCCCCATTGATAGTAATAATTAATAACAACAAATAATAATAATAATTGTTTTTAAAGCAAGGTAAATGTAAACGCCTCTTAGAGCCTAAAAAAAAAATTATTTCTTCACTGAGAGAAAGAGAAAGGCACCTCAATAAGGCCCTCACACTACAGTCTACCCCTGTCCCAACCAACCCAGGTCATCGGCATGAAAGCATGAACCCAGAACAGGGAAGTCCTGAAATGCAAACCCAGGACCTTTTCCATGTGGGTCCACTACTTGGCCCCTTTCATCAATGCTTTAAGTTACATAGCTCTCCCAGTCCTTTAAATAGTAGGGTTATGGGACCAATAGATGACATAATGGTTATGTTGCTGGGTTCCCCTGTAGTTGAGATTTCAAGTCCCAGACCTGGTGGCTTAATCTCACACTGGGTGTGGGTGTGCCCAAAATCCTGAGAGGAAAATGTAAGAGAAGAGATTGCGGCGTGATCAATCCTCCTGGGGGATGATTTCTTGCTGTCTATCTATCTCTCTGTCTCTGTCTCTCCGGCAAGTACACATACCCTATAGCAAAAATCTCTCTTAAAAAAATAATAAAAATAGATAAATTAGTATCTATCTATTAGTAGGGCTATTCAACTTCCTTCTAACTATGTGAAGGTGTGAAGCAGTTATGACCAGTCCTCATTCCATGGTGTTAATTGATTTTTCTGGTGGAATGAGGATGCGTCTGTGCATTAGTTTCACTCAGAGTTGCTCTTGTGTTTCTTGTCATTCAGTCATAGCATGTAAGGATGTGAACCTTTTGAAATGTAATATTTCAGGCCACCCTTTAGTCTCATAGTTAAGGGAGCTGGATTACACATGGCCTACTGTAGTTTGAATCCTGGACCTGGCAGCTTTCCTAGCTTCCAGTGTAATACTTCACTGTTAGTAATTATCTAAATTTGTTAATATTAGAGCTTAATAAATTGGATAATTTTGTCAATGATCCCTTGTCAACAAAATATTTTCTACACTAGTTTTGTTGATGTAACAGTTTCAAAATGCAGATTTTATCTTTAAAAGCTAGGACTCCAAAGGGTAGAGTATAAATGATTGTAGTTTGGGTGTCGGATGCGGAAGTGTTAAATAAGGAAGCAGAACTGATTATTCTGGTTACTGGTACCATCACACAGTAGAGTCGTCGAGGTTGCCACAATCAGTGCCTGGCTCTGCCACTTCCTGAGCTGGGACCTGCTCTGCAACTTAGTTTCTTTATTTATGAAATATAGAACATAATAGTCTCTAACTCACAGGTTGCTCTGGGAATTATATGTGATAATTATAAAATGCTAGAAAAGTACCTGGTACCTACTAAGCACTTATTTAATGATAGCTGTTAGGATTATTGAAATTAATCTTTTTTTGAGTATAATTACTGACCATCAATTAATGGATGCTGGTAATACAAGAACTCAGCTTCTGCTTTCAAAGAGATCATGTCTCAGGGATGAGATGGCCTGGGAAACATGCCATTGTTCTGTAGTGGGTCAGGATATGATAAATGCAGAAGAGTGCTCAGGAAGGTTCTCTGGAAGGGATGATGCTTGGGTATATCTTGAGGGCATAAAATTTTATTTAAGCGGAGTAGCTTAGAGCTGATCCCATAGTCTAGTGGTTAAGGGTACTGGATCCCACTTAGCCAACTACAGTTGGAATCTCAGGTTCAGAGACCTGAAAAACATGCCAGGTACATGTACATCTGTACACAAAATCTCAGTAGGATGGAGAAGGAAAAAAGATTATAGCATGACCATGCCCCACTTTCACAGTAGAGTGCTTTCTCTCTCCTTCCCTCTCTCTCACTGGTGAGTATCCACACCCTCTGTCAATTAAGAAAAAAAGAGGGACCAGCAGTTAGTATATTGGCTATGTCACTGGACTCCCATGTTGTAGTTGACCGCGGTTCGCGACCCGGCTTAAAACTCACGCTGGGTGTGTGTGCGTGCGTGCCCAAGATCCCAAGAGGAGAATGGAGGAGAAGGGATTGCGGCGTAGCCATCCCCCCTGGGGGGTGATTTCTCACTTTCTATCTCTCTGTCTGAAGGGCGAGTACACGCACCCTATAGCAAAAACCTCTCCAAAAAGAAAAAGAAAGAGTTTATATAAAAGTAGGAAGGTCTGAGAGAACGTATATAGGTTGCTGTGGTTGAGAGGCTCTGGACAGAGACAAGGGTACCACGCCAATCCTGTTCGTTTGATACAGATGCTCTTTCCTTCATCCTATTTCAGTCTCTTTCTACTATCTTGTTTACAAAGGTGATTATTCTACTTATTGACTGTCAGTCGGTTTGGTCTCTTTTCTTTTTCCTAATGAATTCACTAGATCAAACATTCTTTGAGTAAGTTAAGTTTTGTATTAGTCATAACTCAGATATAAGAAGATTTTCAATATTAGGCGCCTCTCTAGAATGGCAGAGATCTGGGCTGGCCCAGTAGCACAGTGCTTAAGCACAGTGCATGGATCCCATTTAGCTGACAGTAGTTTGAATCCCAGCCTTAGCAGCTTGAAAAACACACAAGGCCTGTGTTCATGCATGCCCAAAATCCTGACAGGATGAAGAAATGGAGGAAAAGGATTGTGGTGTGACCATGCCTGGTTCTCTCGTTGTGTGCACGCGTGTGTCTCTCTCTCTCTCTCTCTCTCTCTCTCTCTCTCTCTCTCTCTCTCTCTCTGGCAAGTGTGTACCCTGTCAGTTAAAGAAAATAAATAAAAAGAAAGGCAATGGTTCTTTAAATCTGCTGAAGATGCACTAGTTAAGAAAACATGACCCATGGCCAGCAGGTGGTGTGTTGGTTAAAGCACTAGATTCCCACCATGGTTCGAGTCCTGGATCAGGCTTCTTGAAAACTATGCCAGGTACATATGTGTGCGTGCTCAAAATCCCAAGAGGAGATGTGACATGACCATCCCCCTAAGGGGTGATTTCTTCCTCTCCCTCTCTGTCTCTGTGAGTGCATGTGCCCTATGACAAAAGCGTAAAAAAAGAAAAAAAAAAAAAAAAAAAAAAAAAAACCATTTCCTTTTCATACCATACTCACTTCAAGTTATAGTGGTCTCAGTGGCCAGCATTTTTTAAAATTGGATATGGCTGGGTTTTCGGGCTCAGACAGTGGCCATGAAGTAGGTAACAGTAAAAACAAACACCTGAGACTTGGCATGGTGGCATGTGCCATAGTCCCAGCAGCTCAGGAGGCTGAGGCAAGGGGATCTCAAGCTCAAGGCTGCCCCGAGCAACAAAGCAAGATCTTCTCTAAAAAAGCAAAAACAAACACTCTTTAGTTTACCTAAAAAACACATAAGGAAAAAAAATGTGCTTGTAAGAATAGTCAGGAGATTGCCGAATTATTCAGACAAGATGCTATTTTAAAGCTAAGGAATGTCCTGCCTGTTCAGGGAAGCTGTGCTCTAAACTTCATTTTCTTGATTCCCAAAGTATTCAGACAAGCACTGTGGAGGAGAGATTTTGTCACAGAATGACCATAAACCACCGCAGAGGCACAAGAAACATGAGAAACCAAGAAAATCTCTCTCCCCTAAGGGAAAAGAACAATCCCTCGTCATCCACAGTCAGTACAGTGGAACTCGTGGAAATGTCTGATAGAGAATTCAGAATATTCATAGTGACAAAACTAAACGAGATGTAAGAGCAGTTCTGCTCCTGCCTGGTTTATATATGTGAAGGTCCTCTGTTAGCATTTCATTTGGAAAAAAGACTACTACAACCCTGTCCCAAATAATAATAGAACTAGCATTCTAGCACTTGGGAACGTAAGTAATAGTAACAGTCATTTCACAAGATGATTAGGAAACTTCAGGCCCTCTGAATTGAACTCCCTTAAAGTATAGTTCAAAGAACTCAGACACCTGTTTGCACAGCCTCAGCTGCCACTCATGGCACACTTTCTTGGGTTCGTGGCATCTGTGCTTTGCTGACTTCTGTTCGAGTCTGTCTTAGTGGATCGTGGCAGGGTTTGGTAGGATGGGGTTTAACCATTAAGCAGATCTGTTTAGTCAAGTGTGTCCTTTATATGGGAACATTGGAAGTGAGTTTGACTACTGTAAGGGGTCTTCAGAAAAGACATAGAAAATGTGTAGTATTAAAAACTGGGGGGCTGGCAGATGGCATGGTGGTTAAGGGTGCTGTACTCCCACATGTCCAACAGCAGTTTGAGTCTCGCACCTGGCAGCTTGCTTTCTCACCCTCCTCCACCTCTATCCCTCTCTGGTCAAATTAAAATAAATAAATAAATAAATGAATATAAATAAAGTTCAGTAAAATAAAAAGAACCTGGATCAGTTTCAAGAAATTTTTTCATCAAAATAAACTCCTATTTAATTCCTTTTTTTTTTTTTAATAGAGATTTTTACTATAGGGTGCATGCACTTGCCCATAGTCCCAAGTCAGGATATTTGCATTTAGATGCTTCTGTTCTGCCTTTCTGTTGTAACTCGTAACCATTTACTAAACTAGCTCCCTGTAATTGCAGGTACCACTTCGGTATTTGTTAGGCATGTTATATGTTAACTTCAGTGCTCTCTGGGATCCTGTTATTGAGCTCATAAGGTAAGCTTGGTTAAATGGATGACACTGTTATGCTTTGACTACTGCAGAGCGATGGTACCAGGATTATAGTCTTTCTAAGAATGATTTAAATGAATAGAAGTGTAAAGTATTTATAGCTACCTTAAATCCTTTGTAGGACAAGAGGAAGAAAATGAACATTTATCTTCTCTGATGCCAAACTTTTCAACTGTTTAAGTGTTATGTGTATGTTTCTTTATGCATTGATATAACTTTGGGGTGCTTTCTCTTTTTTACTTTATGTAACAGACACTTTTATATTATTGAAGTTTTTGATGGTTGAAACTGTTTACAGTAAGAAAGCATTTATAATAATCATACTTTTGTTTATATGTCTTGAGTCATTGAGACATACTTTAAAAATACAGACTTTTCACCACCTTGGCTATATAGTATCCAAAATCACTTTAGCTCTAAAAGAGGGACCTTGGGATCAGCAGGTGGCATAGTGCTTACATTGCTGGACCCCCATGTAGTTGACTGTGGTTTGAGTTCTAGACCCAGCAGCTTAAAACTCATGCCAGGTGCTTGTGTGTGCATTCCCAAGATCCTGAGAGGAGGATGGATTAGGGATTGCGACGTGGTCATCCACCTTGGGGGGTGATTTCTTGCTTTCTGTCTCTCCAGCGAGTGCATGTGCCCTATAGCAAAAATCTTTAAATAAAAGAGCTAGTGAGAGAGAGAGAGACCATAATAGTCACATAGAAAATGCATATGCTGTGTCTCAGATATTTGTCCTTTTTACAGACATTTGTCTTAAATGGTCTACTCTGGCTTTTTATTAGAAGTATGGCATGTATGGCCTTTCAAACCTGGCTGTTCTTATTGGCAGACTTAGAATAAACAGATCCCTTTCCAACTGGACTCACCTGGCCTACCTTTTACTGCCCTTCAGAGCCATCAGACCAGTATGTTGAAACCAGTGCCTTCTAGCATCACCTTCACTGTCTTATTGTACTTTTAGAAGATAGGCAGAATCTGACATGTCTTACAGTCGCCCCCATCAGAACATCAGTGTTCCAATTACTGTCTCTTACAGTTCTCCAGAGTGGCTGAGCCAACTGTTTCCCTCCTCTTTCTGTTTGGAAATTGGTTTGTTTGCTGTTGTGAACAGCATTTATGGTTCATGTCTTATGTGACATCTATACATAGTCTTAGAAAATTAAAGACCACGAGTATTAAAAAAAATTGAGAATATTGTTACTGAGATATCAAAGTAAATAAACATTTTCTATGATTCCTCTAATGTCTCCTCACAAAGTTTTGAAAAGTAATTTTTATGTAGTTAATGACTGTTAATTTTGCCTTTGTGTTAATAATTATATTTGTATTTGGTGGAGAGAAAACCAACATTTTTAAAGTATCTTTAAACAAATGGACTTTTCTGTCCAGTGACCATCTTCCTTTGATGGGCCATAGCTAATACCCCATGCCACTTTCCCACTGTTGTATGTTTAAAAATAGTCTTTCAGGGATCTACTTTCATTTTTTTAAAAAAATACCCTATAGTTTCTTTTTAACACTTTTTTTAAAGAATGATTTTTTGTTAACTTTATTTATTTTTCAATTTGACCAGAGAAGGACAGAGCGATATAGCTAGAGGGAAAGTGGGAAAGCAAGCCACCAGGTCTGGGACTCGAACCATGGTCAGCCATGTGGGAATCCTATGTTCTTAACCACCATGCCACCTACCAGCTCCCCTGTAGTTTCTCGTGACTATAAAAAATAATTAGTACAGTGCAGACATTCTAAAAAATCTAGAAAAAAATGCAGAAGTTGTTTAAAGCCACATTGAGGAATGACCTAATTAACATTTAGTTGTATCTTTTCATTCTTTTGGGTTTTTTCTATGCTAGACCTCCAATTAAAGACCATTTTGCTTTGTTGTCATTTCTCTTAGTTCTCATGCATGTGAAATGGAAAATAAGCAGTTTTGGAAGGTCTACTATGAACATCTAGAAAAAGCAGCCACACATGCTGGTATGTCAGGGGTGTGGGGAGGGTGGGCAGTAATGTGATTGGTTGTTTCCTTTTTACTGCTCTAAAATTTCACTGCGTGAAGTTGAGAAGCAAAAAGACATGAATTATCTTAACCTAGAGATGCCTTTCTTAAAAAAAACACATAGGACAGATTTTAACATTTCTGTAGTGGTTCTGATGGCTTCTTTTTTTTTCTTTCAGAGAAAGAGCTGCAAAGTACTGTAAGAGAGGAGGAGACATCCTTTGGGGATGAAAGTCAGGAGCAGATCCAGGAAGGAGATGTGGGAGCTCTCTATCATGAACAGCTGGCATTGAAAACAGACTGTCGGGAGAGACTGGACCATACTAACTTTCGGTTTTTGCTCTGGCGAGCTCTGGCAAAATTCCCAGAGAGGGTAGAACCAAGATCCAGGGAGCTTTCACCACTTTTCTTGAGATTTATCAAGTAAGTGTTCTTTTAGGAATGTGTTCCTTGTATAGTGTGAGGCAGAAGAGTTAAGAAGTTCCAACATTGGAACCAGTAGGTGACATAGTGGTTAAGGTGCTGGACTCCCACGTGAGCGACTACCGTTCAAATCTTGGACCTGGCCACTTGAAAATCCCACGGGGCTCGCCTGTGTGTGTGTGTGTGCCCAAAATCCCAAGAGGAAAATGGAGAGGGGATTGCAGCATGGCCACCTCCCTCGGGGTGATTTCTCACTTTCCCTCTCACTGTCTCCCCAGTGAGCACACATACCCTATAGCGAAAACCTTAAAAAAAAAGTGCTAACTACCAAATTGACTAAGTTCTTTATAGATCTGTCATATCCTCAAGTCACTGGAACATCTTGTAAAGTTCTGTCAAGTAACAACTAAACTGGTTTTGTTCATCATTTAATTTTATATGAATCAAAATTTAATCAGACCACAAATAGTAATAAAAAAAATTCCAGGTTACAAAATAAGGGCCATATGAATTTGATCAGTTTATAAAGGCCTTGTTGTTTTTTTTCTGTTGTTCATTATTTTATTGCGTGCGTGAGGCTTGTTAAGTATTTTCTAGTGACCCAACCACAGCCACCGTTTTGAGCCTTTTGATATCTCCCATAATGCTGAGGAATGTACTCAAAGAACAACAGGAGCTTTCAAGAACATTTTTTGGTATGCCATGTGAGAGTCTCATTGCTCTAAAACTAAAGATGAGCAATATGATATGCAAAATGATACTAAGTCACCATTAAAAATATGTTTTTTTTTAAACAATTACATGGGAAATGTAATGGTTTCAGGTTTGGTTAAGCCAGAGATAAACCATAGTGTGCCTGGCTTGTTCAAGGAACAACAAAACAGCCTGGGTTGCCACAACAGAATGAAAAAAGTGATTGGGGATGACTTCAGAAAGTTAACAAAATTGTGGCCTTTAAGTGATAGGATACACTTTGGATTTTCTTCCAGTGAAATGGGAAGCCATTGAGAGATTTAAGCAGAAAGCTGATAGGACCTCAGGTTTTCTTAGACTTTTTTTGCTTCTGTGTAGAGAACACTATAGAATGGTAATGAAGAGAGCAGAGACACCAATCGAGAGGAGATTATAAGTCCAGGGGGAAAGGGTGCTAATTTGACTTACATTGTATCAGTGAAGATGAATATTATATGATGGATTTTAATATATTTTTGAAGAATTGCAACTAGATCAACCTGTGGGCCTTGCCAACAGAGCTGACGTGGAATGAGGGTGCGCGGTGGGCGAGGGAACAGAGTTTAGAGGCAAGCGCAGAGGGTAGGATGGAATAGAGGCTGTGTCTTCAGCTTTTGGCCTAAGCAGCTAGAAGAGAGTTAACCATTTACTGAGGTTAGGAGGAATGCAGGAGTTGCAGGCTTGTGGGAGGATTAAGAGTTCATTTTTAGATGTGTTAAGTTTAGAATACTAACCAGACATCCAAGTAGAGATGTCAAGTAGGCATTATCACAGGAGTTTAAAGGTCAGGGGAAAGCTTTGGTCTGGAAATAATAAATTTGAGTCATTAATATTTGGATGGTAATTAAAATTACGAGATAGGGATGAAGTTACCTAGGGTGTGACTTTCATGGAAGAGAAGACTTCCAAAGACTGACACCAGTATTGACAATTGGAGATAACTCACCAGTAAGGGAGACCAGAAAAGTGGTAGAAGAACCAATCCCTCTTGGTATCCCAGAAGTGATGCAAATACATCAAGAAGGGAGTGATCAGGCCCAGCCACTGTGGGCACTGCAGTTACATACACAATGTGTGTCATGCCGGAAGCCATATGGAAGATCAGGATTCTGTTACCAGTCAACTTATACATGTCAGGCAGACATAGACGTCTATGACAACCTGGCTGGCTATGAAGGCTGGGAAGGAGGACTGCAGCTTGAGACCCTGTAGAGCAGCGGTTCCCAGCCTTTTTTGCACCAAGGACTGGTTTCATGGAAGATAGTTTGTCCATGGATAGAAGTTGGGGGGATTAGAAATGTTTATGAGGGAGCACAACCTAAATTTGTCCCATGCACAGTTCATAATAGGGTTAGTGATCCTATGATAATCTGAGGTCACTGCTGAGCTGACCTATGGTGGCACTCAGGCAGTAACACCAACCACAAAGGGTGGCTGGAAGTAGAGGTGAAGTTTCTCTCAGTCGCCCACTGCTCACCTCCTATGTGGCCCAGGCCAGTACTGGGGGTTGGGGACCCCTGTTTAGATGGTACTTCTTTCTCTCTACTCTTCTTTTCTTTCTTTTTTTTTTGTTTGTTTGTTTTTTGTTTGCTTATTTGTTTGTTTAAGAGAGATTTTTGCTATAGGACATGTATGCTTGCCAGAGATACAGAAAGCAAGAAATCAGCCCCAGGGGGGATGGCCATATTGCAGTCCCTTCTCCTTTCTTCTCTCAGGATTTTGGGCACATATGCACGTGCATCCAGTATGAGGTTTTAAACTGCCGGTCTGGGACTCAAGCCACTGGCAACTACGTGGGAGTCTAGCGACATAACATTACACCATCTCCTGGTCCCAACCCACCTCTCTTTTTCTAAATAAACAGACTTTTTTTTTAAAAGGTAACAGTTGAGTCAGAAGTGTCTGAGCAGCTCAACCTGGTGGTGAATTTGTCACCAAACTGAACTGCAGTGCTAGAAGCCACGTAGTCACCTGCAGATTTGGATCCAGGGGTTGAAAACTGGGTATGAACGTGCCTGAGATCCTGGCGTGCCAGGACCCTTTCGTACCTGAGTACTTGCTCTCTGTCTCACACGTGTTCTATCATGAAGCTAAAAAGTTTAAATTTGTCTGAGAGGTCAATCAGATGAGAAATAAGAATTGACCTCTGGAAGTGATCTTAACAAGTTGTTTTGTTTAAGCTGGTAAGGATGAAAGCCAATTAAAACAAGCTCAATGGGAAATAGAAAAGAAAAATGGAAACAAGTTCAAGTAGTACTGTAGTAAAAAAGAAACAAAAAGTTACGTGGAGGGAGATGTGTGGGCACCGAAAAATCTTCTGTTGGTGGAGATATTTAAAATGTAAACAGCATGTACTTACATAGTACTGGTACAAATGATCCAGAATAGGGGGAATTGGTAACGGAAAAAAAGTGATAAAATTCTTATAGCCACATCTTGGAATAGATAAGAGCAGATAGGATCCAGTGTATACATGAAAAAGTTTGTATGACAACTCATCCTGGCAAAGATTACAAACAAAGACGTCGCAGGTCATTAGATACAGTGAGAGGGAGCTAATGATTTCTCTGTTTCACATAATTCTTGGGGTTTAAATTTATTTAGATTTAGAACAATGATAGTTTGGCTTGTTTGCCTTGTTTCAAAGGTCATTCAGTTGTTTTGTGAATTGAAAGGGTGTACATAAGCAAGCTAGTATTAGTGGTTATTTGTAGGCTATGGACTTCTACCATGATAATTTTCCAGGTTTTTTCCGTAAAGAAATAGCTTAAGGAAATAGTGTTATTCTAACAGTGCAAGGTGCGTGGGGTATGTCAGAGAGAAACCTACAAGGACTGGCTCTCTGGGTTCAGGAACACATAAGAGACTAAAGAGGCATAGTTCTAAATAGTGTTTAAATTGAAGCTAGTTGGGACCAACAGGTGACGTGATAGTTGGGTTGGAGTGCTGGATTCCCACATGGCTGAACACAGTTCAAGTCCTGAACCTGGTGGCTTGCTTTATCACTTTCCCTCTCTTTCATGAGTATGGCAAGTTGAAAAATAATAATAGATAAAATAAATAATTCTTGAAAAATCAAAACAAATAAATTGAAACTAGTTAGCACTGATTTATACATCACGCATAGGTAGGTGACCCAAACTAATGGAAAATCCAAAGGTCACATGTAATTCTGACTTTGAAACATAGGATGGGCTTTTTATTCCTACTTTTTGACTAGCAACTTATATTTCTTTTTTTTTTTTTTTTTTGGAGAGGTTTTCGCAATAGGGCCCGTGCGCTCGCCAGACAGAGAGAGACGTAGAGACAGAAAGCAAGAAATCACTCCCCCAGAGGGGATGGTCACACCGCAATCCCTTCTCCTCCATTCTCCTCTTGGGATCTTGGGCACGCACGCACACGCGCCCGACGTGAGTTTTAAGCCACCGGGTCTGGGACACGAAGCGCAGTCGACTACGTGGGAATCCAACGACATAGCCATTACACTAACTGCTGGTTCCCTATATTTCTTTTTTTTTGAGAGGTTTTTGCTATAGGGCGCGTGTGCTCACCAGACAGAGAGACAGAGAAACAGAAAGCGAGAAATCACCCCCCCCCCAGGGGGGATGGCCACGCCGCAATCCCTTCTCTTCCATTCTCCTCTCCGGATCTTGGGCATGTACGCACACACGCCCGGCTTGAGTTTAAGCCACCGGGTCCAGGACTTGAACCGCGGTTGACTACATGGGAGTCCAGCGACATAGCCATTATGCTAACTGCTGGTCCCAGCAACTTGTATTTCTAATAATGGTTCAAATTAATTTTTTTTCCCCATGGAAATTTATTTATTTTATTTATTTATTTATTTTTTTGCTGTTAAAAATCGTTTTTTAATTTATTTTTTTATTTAAATTTATTTACATTCATTCACTGTACATCATTACGGCTTACAAAGTGAGATTTTCCATCCAGAGTACACTGTATATTGGCTCAATCAAGCACATTGACCTACATGTTATAGTCAACAAATAATTTTCCATTTCTTGTTTCCTGTATGTTTTGCTTTTTTTTCCCATCCTTGATTCCCTATCTCTTACCCTCTGCCATCTCCCACTCTCCTCCCACCGTCTCTGGTATCTATGTTTGCTTTCTATACATTTTTTTCCCCATTTTATTGAATCACTAAAGATCTTAATTAATCTAAATATTTTCATAGCAAGCACAGCTGATAAATTTCCATGGCATAAAGCTCAGTGAGTAAAATGAACATCCTATAAAGTAGTACCTAGCTAAGGCTATATAACTTACTGTAGTTGTCGAATAAGTATTTTCAAAGCATTTTTTTTTTAATTTCAAGAAAACGGTTTTAGTTTTTTTCTGAACCTTTTTCTTTTTTTAAATTAATTTACATTCATTCCCTAAGCATCGTCACAGCATACAAAATGTGATTTGCCGTCCAGAATATACTGCATAGTGGCTTAATCATGCACGCTATTATAAAAAATTTTCAATTTCTAGTTTCCAGTATTTTTTTACCCCTATTTCTGACCCTCTGCCCTTTCCCACCCTCTTCTCACACTATCTCTGGTGTCTACAGTTGTCTTCCATTCCTTTCCCCACCACATTGTATTGATCACACAATTTCTTAAATAACTACTTTCAACAGTGAGTTCACTAGGTACTATTAAGAAAACCAGTTTTAACTTAAATCAAAGAAATGTAAGGAACTTTGCTTAAAACTTAAAGCCAGGAAACAGGTTAGGATTCTGTTCAAATGGTAAGTACATGAACCTATCCATATCTCAAGACGGGACACAAATCCTTACAACCAGATAACAGTTCAAATTAATTTGATATTAATTACAATTCTGTGAGAAGAAACAAACTAGGAGCTAGAATGAATCACAATAGCAACAACATCTCAATAGTTTGTGACACTCAGTGAATACCTACTGAGTGCTAGGCACTCTTCTAAATGCTTTGTGTGGATTATTTCATTTAGTAAGTGAATGAGAGAACATGCACAGCATGGAAATAAAGATGAAAAATATGTAGCATGGTTAACTGAATTTTGAACATATAAAATGTTGTTATTAAGTGGATAATAGTACAGTTTGTAGCCGACAAAGCAGCTTTGCTCATTTCATTCATCCATTTTTTTATTTAGTAGGTACTAGATTCTGTTAGATGAGCATACAAAGTATAGTAGAGTCCTAGCCTTAAGATGTAGTTTAGTGTGTCGATCTGTATTAACCTAGAGTTTCTTGTGGGGAGAGTTGGTAGGTTGCTATCCTCAAATGTATTCTTTTACTCTTTGTATTTTTTTCTCTAAAGTTTTTGTCATAGGGTGCTTACATTCTCCAGACTGACAGAGACAGTGAGAGGGACAGTGAGAAATCACCTCCAGGGGGATGGTCACACTGCATCCCTTCCCTTCCATTCTCTTCCTGGGATTTGGGGCATGCATACACATGCATCTGGTGTGATTTTTCAAGCCTCTGGGTCCGTGAATCAAGCCCCAATCAACCATGTCAGAGTCCAGCACTATAACCACTACACCACCTACTGGCCCCAATTCTTTGTAATTTTTTTCCTTAAAGAATTATTTTATTTAACTTTATTTATTTATTTGCTTATTTTAATTTAGTCAGAGAGGGACAGAGTGAGACAGAGAGAGAGGGAAAAATGCAAGCCGCCAGGTCTAGGACTTGAACCGCAGTTGGCCATGTGGGAGTCCAGCACCCTTAACCACCTTGCCACCTGCCGACCCCAATTCTTTGGTGTCTCTTGATCCTGTGAACTTGGGCCATCTCGCTCCTAAACAGAATTAGGACCTTCCGGGTTGGCATGCCATCTTCATCTATGTCGTGGCACTCTCTTTCACTGTAGCAATGAGTATTACCCAGCAGACCTGCAAGTTGCTCCAACCCAAGATCTGCGGAGAAAAGGCAAAGGGGTAACAGTGGAGGAAATGGAAGAGGAAGCTGCTGCTGGAGAAGACGAGGAGATGGAGGAAGAGGGGGTGCCCCAAGACGAACCCTCACAGAAGAAAAAGACAAGAAGAGCAGCTGCAAAGTAAGTTCGCCATTGCTGAGAGGTCGTAGAGCCACACTTTGGGGAGGATCAGAAGTCGTCTCTGATAACCTACATGTGAAATAGCCTCATTTAAGATGAATTGCTCAGATAATTACTTTGACCAGAGAGACAAAGTGAGAACACAAGCTGCCAGGTCTGGGACTTGAACCGTGTTCAGCTATGTGGGAGTCTAGTGCCTTAACTACCACGCTACCTACCAGCCCCACATAGTTCCCTTTTTATGGAGGAGAGCTTAGAGGCCTGGCATGTTTAAATTCTCTTTGACCTTTGTTGTTCATTGTCAAAGCACCGCAGTATGGTGTTTGTGTGCTAGGAAACCACATAATAGAACATCTTTTCTCTTACCAATTAGCAGGTCAGCACTTCTCTCTGTCCTACCAGAGACAAGTTGTTATACTCTCTCTCTTACTCTCTTGGTTATTCATTTACTGAAATTGTTAAAAACCTGGGGAAAAAAAAAAAGTGATCACGTTTTCAGAAGTTACTTAAGCCCACTTGAAGATTGTCTGAATTGAAGCATTTATAATCCACTAGATTGGTGTTGCTGTGTTGTTTCTAACATTTTTACATCACAAGCTGATGCTCTCATTTGTTCAATATTCCCATAATCCATTACTAATTAAGCCACTCAAAAACCGTGTTGAATGCCTCTTAAGTACTGGGCTAGAGAGATGAATTCTGCATTGCCTCTCAAAGCAGGAGTCATGGTCAAATGTCTGCTGAAATATTTTTATAGAAGAATTTTTTTTTTTTTTAAGAAAGAGTTTTTGGTATAGGGCACATGTGCTTGCCAGAGACAGAAAGCAAGAAATCACCCCTGGGGGATGGCCACGCCACAAACCCTACTCCACTGGTCTCCTCTCACGATTTTGGGCATGCACATGCACGTGCCTGGCATGTTTCAAGCCTCTAAGTCTGGGACTCGAACTGTAGGTGGCCATGTGGGTGTCCAACAAGGTAACCATTACACCATCTGCTGGCCCCTAGAAACAGTTGAAAGAAGTTAAGGCAGCACAGTGCAGAATCATTTGATTTGACCTCCAAAAACCCAGGGAAGACTTTTTGCAAAGGAGAGCAAACACTTTTGATGCTGAAAGATGAAAGCTTGCCAGGCAGCTGGGACAGGGAAGGACTTGTCAGCTAATGGAATGGAAATCACGCATGAGAGTACAGGGCAGGGAAGGTCATGACCAAGCTTTGTGTAACTCTCAAAGCAAAGGAGAGCAAACACTTTTGATGCTGAAAGATGAAAGCTTGCCAGGCAGCTGGGACAGGGAAGGACTTGTCAGCTAATGGAAATCACGCATGAGAGCACAGGGCAGGGAAGGTCATGACCAAGCTTTGTGTAACTCTAGGTCCTTCTCTGCCTCTGCCCAGCATTCTGTCTCCCACTGCTTCATCTAAGACAAAGATTGCTGATGTCTTTTTCAATTGGGGGGTGTGTGTGTGGGGGGTAAAACCTAGCAGGAGATTAGTCCTTGCGACTGTCGGCCCTCTGTACACACGAGTTCTGTACCCAGAGATTGCATCAGTCACAGGTGCAGCGCGGAACATAGTTGTTACAAAGAGGCAGCTCCCTAGAAGAGCGATGCTGGAGAAGTTTATCTATATGTCTTCCTTTTCACTTATGTCTGATGCTGAGATTACTTATAAGTAACCTAGAGATTATTTAAAATATACAGGAGGGTATGTATAGGTTGTGTGCAAATAACATACCATTTACGTGAGGGATTGCACATCACAGACTTTGCCATCTGCTGCGGTGGGGGAGGAGCAAAGTCCTCGAATCATTCTCCCTTCGGTCTCAAGAGATGACTGCATGTTTGTTGAATAAATCAAGAGCTATTTTCCAGTTGTACTTCTTCCTTTCTGCCTCTGGACTTCTGCTTATGCCCTTCCCTCTTTCCACGGTGCCTTTGCCTCATTTCTGCCAATTGAAATTCTGTTCATACTGCAGAGCATACTTCGATACTGCTGCTTCACTGACATTTTTCTTGTCTTTTAAGCTGAAAATTATCCCTGGACCGGTAGATGACATAAGGGTTTCAGTGCTGGACTCCCACATAGTCGACTGCGGTTTGAGACCCATACCCAGTGACTTGAAACTCATGTTAGGCATATATGTATGTGCGCCCAAAATCCCAAGAGGAGAAGAGAGGAGAAAGGACTGTGGCATGGCCATCTCCCCTGGGGGGTTGATTTCTATTTCTGTCTCTTTGGCAAAGGCACACACTCTATAGCCAAAATCTCTTGAAGAAAAAAAAATTGAAAGTTATCTTCCTCAGTATCATAACAGCCATTCATACCAGTGTCACGGTGCTACTCCTTGCTGTGAGTATTAGATAAGTTGGTTTTTGTTTGTTTTTGTTTTGTTTTGTTTTGTTTTTTTGCTCTAGGGCTTGTGCGTTTGCCAGAAAGACAGAGAGAGATATAAAGTGAGAAATCACCCCCTCCAGGGGGGATGGCCACGCCACAATCACTTCTCCATTCTTCTCTTGGGATCTTGGGCTTGCACGCACACATGCCCGGCGTGAGTTTAAATCACTAGGTATAGGACTCAAACCAGTGTCGACTTCATGGGAGTCCAGTTCAGTCTGTGCCTTAATTGACTTACCACACAGCTAAAGCTGCAGAGGCACCCCTGCACCTTGTTGTCTACTCACTTCACAGCTCCCTGCTTATGTTCTTGAGAGAGGTAGATACAGTGTCTTCTCATCTTCGGTTCATTGGAAAAGTCATAACACATTTTTCTATAATTTCCTATGCAAAAATACGTCATGATTTTCCCAGTGACCCAATAGGTTACAAATATTTTGAGAATCACATTCTCAAAATATTTTTAAAAGGCTCATGAGTTCTGTGGATCATAAGGTCTGGTGAGTGAATACAGAAGCTCTCTTCTCAGTCTGTTTTAGTGGATGATGTAGTTTGCTCCAAGGCATTCCCGTCTTCACATTTGACTTTTGACCACAGAAATTTCACTCTTTCTTTCCTCTTCCTAATAAGCAAGAGCCTTGGCTACCTACATTGGACTTCTGCCACCTGGCATTAGTTATTTATGCTATATGAAAGTGAGGAGAGCCAAGTGCGTGCATTTAGGGCAGCCAGATCCCACATGCAGTTTGTGTTCTGGACCCTGTGGCTTGAGAAACACAGCAGACGTGTATGTGTGCACGCATGCCCAAAATCCTGAAAGGAGGGAGAGGTCGAAGAGAAAGGGTTGCTGTGTTATCATTCCCCATGGGGAGTGCTTTTTCCTTTACCCTTCACGGTCTCTCTCTCTGGAAAGCACATGCACCCTGTGGCAAAAAAGGAAATGCTTGCTACACCAAGCTCAAACAGAGCAAAAGATAACCTTGGCTTGCATAATGATACCTAAACCTCCTCATCTCCTCCCTGACTGGTAAGTGAGGAAACATGTTCTACCACTTTCTTCTCTGTTGAATAGAACTTAGACAAGGAATAATTCTAGAAATCATCTGTGTTCAACTTTGGAGTATATTACTGTTTAGATTGTTTTCTTTCTAATTTCGGTTTAATTTAAACTATTCTAAACATATCCAGAAGGATTTTCTGAGGTGGAGAGCCTGGATTTTAGAAGAGGCCTGCCTGACATTTGGAATTTCTACAGAACAGTTGCCTAAATGCAAATAGCTAAAACTTGATGGGGACCAGCAGGTGGTGTGGTAGTTAAGGTGCTGGACACTCCCACATGGTCGACCGTGGTTCAAGTCCTAGATCTGGTGACTTGCTTTCTCACTTTCCTTTTCTTTCTCTCACTCTCTGTGTCTCTCTGGTCAAATTAAAATAAATGAATGAATAAATTAAAAAAAAAAACTTGCTTATAATTGTGAAACTCTTAGCAAGGTGTTTGGAGTACTCGTGAGAGAGTAAACTTATGGGTAATAGCTCAAGAACATAACCTCATTCTTTAATTATATAATACTCCCTATTTTGTTTTTCTTTAGGCAATTAATTGCTCATTTGCAAGTTTTCTCTAAATTTTCAAATCCACGGGCCTTATACCTCGAGCCCAAGTTATATGAGTTATATCTTCAGGTAAGTAAAATAAATTCTTACACTGTAGTTCCTTGTACCATTTTTTTTTTTAATGCCAAAGTAACATTTAGTTTTCAAGTTGTTAAATAGGACCCTGTCTACCTTTTAAAATACTAAACTTCTTATTAGTAGATGTACTTTCCATTAACTTGAGAAATAATTTTTGACATCACTAATTGATTTCGAAGGCATTCTGGTTGACTAAATACTGATCACTGTATGAACAGTGAGAATAGCAAAGCATGGATTATGAGAATTAGCTTTTGGGAGGGAATAGGGTTGTTCCAAAAATAACTGGACATTGTTTTCCTTCTAGTTAAGTCAACCTTCAAAGTAGTAGAATTTCAGATCTACTCGACCGAGTGAAAACAGACCGTGGGAATAATAGTCTCGTGCAGCCCTAATGTATTCTGAATTCCAGAAATGGCTATAGAAAAAATATGTGGGATGCGGGTATCAAGAGGTTATTTCCATTCTTTTCTTTGTCCTTACGCTATTTATCCTCCTTTACCTCCAGAAAAATGTAAGGCTGTTGTCAGGAATCAGCTTTAATACTTGTCTTAAAACTTAAAACTTAGGAAGTCTAATTTGGCAAATTTACCTAAGTAAATTGCTAACTCGTGCTGTATGTATATGTGACTTCATTGATTTATTCAATAAAATATCGTTCTTAGCTGTTGCTACACCAAGATCAAACAGTGCAAAAGATAACCTTGGATTGTATAATGACTTATAAACATCCTCATATCCTCCCTTACCGGTAAGTTACTTGAAACTAAAGATGCTATTTGATTGATTTTGATTTTTATCTTTCTGCCTAATAAGATCTCCTTCTAAAGTATTCTTGAAGGCCTGGGAAATCTCCCTCTGTTCTAAGGTAATCAAAATGTCTTTTCCAGGCAAGAAATGAAAACTAGAACTATATTTGTTAATGGTTCTATATAGATAATAAAGGAGAAAGAGAATATTAACCTTTAAATGTGTGTTGTAAAGGTTATATCATTTTTCTCTTCTTGCCTATATAGTGCCATAAAATCTTATTTATTTAAGGAACCATAATCTCTCTTGAGAACTGAAGAAAGCTCTTGTATCATGCTCATTTAAACAGCTGAATTATTGACTAAAGCTAATCCATTTTACCTTTTGAAATTTGGAAACTTGTCATTTGGAAGATATTTTTGTGAGGATTTCATTTACGGATCTTAGTCAAAATATGAACTATATATTAGTTCTTACTACTTTATACATATATTTCTCTACTCTTGGATTTTTAAACAGTTCTATTGACTAAGTGATGATCTGTGCTATATTCTTTTCAAAGGGAAAATTTACAAAGATTGCTTGAAGACAGAAGCTTCAAGGAAGAGATTGTGCATTTTAGCATTTCAGAAGATAATACCGTAGTGAAAACAGCCCACCGAGCAGACCTGTTTCCTATTCTGATGAGGTATTGGTATTTTTTAAAAACTATTATTTTGAAAAATTAATCACAAACACAATTTTAATAGTATAGTATTATGATTCCTTAGCAGCTTTAATGGAATATTTTATTTTTTCTTTGATTTTTTTTTTATTTTTTTTTCACTATAGTGCACGTGCGTTCACCAGACAGAGAGAGACATAGAGACAGAAAGCGAGAAATCACCCCCCAGGGGGGATGGTCACGCCGCAATCCCTTCTCCTCCATTCTCCTCTCGGGATCTTGGGCATGCACGCACACGTGCCCGGCGTGAGTTTTCAGCCACCAGGTCCAGGACGTGAACTGCGGTCGACTACATGGGAGTCCAGCGACATAGCCATTACGCTAACTGCTGGTTCCCTTCTTTGATTATTTTTTAAAAAATGGATTTTTTCTTTTAAATTAGTAGAGGGCACATATGCTTGCCAGAGAAAGAGATACAGAGACATAAGGCATCCCCCAATGGGGTGTGGTCATTGCTACAAACCCTTCTCTAACGCTAAAATCTGCATATACACGTGCCTGGCATGTTTTCCTATCCATAGGGGCCAAGATTCAAACCACAGTCAGCCACGTGGACTCTGACTCCATGAACCATGAGGTTGTGGGGCCAACCCTAATTGAACCTTTCAAAGATATCAAATTTATCATGGGGATTAATTTAGAATATGTTGTTCTTAACATGAACAAAGATCTTACTATGATATTATTTTAATGATAATGTTAAAATTAAATCCAGTATTTACCTAAGATTTTTGTTGAGATATAGTAGAAATAACAATAATTCATCCCAGTGTCTATAAATATCATGTGATACAGAGTGATACTACAGTTTTATAAAATGATGGAACATAAAATTATCCACAATCAATGCAAAGATCATGTCTACTGGATATTTAAAAAAAAAAAAAAAAGAAACTTGAGTAGTTTACCAGACTTAGAATGATAGAGACTGAAAATTCATGGGACCAGGATTTGACAGACCTTTGCTTGCTATCCAGCCCTGACTACATTATGTAATTATATAAGCTAGGAGAAGGCTTTTTTTCTTTTTCTTTTTTTTTTTTTTTTAACCATAGGGCATGCACATTAGCCAGAGAGAGAGAAAAAACATCCCCCAAAGCGGATGCCCATGCCACAGTCCCTTCTCTGTTCCTCTTAGGACTTTGGGCATGCTCACATACTTGCCCAGCATGATTTTTCAAGCTGCTGGGTCCAGGAGACTCGAACCATAGTCAGCCATGTGGGAATCCAACTGAACCGGGACAAACCTTTTAGATCCATTGGACTTGAGTTCCCTTAACAGAAGCTGGAACAGTTATATTCTGGGGCTTCTGCCACCTCTGATCTAATAGCTCTATTTGATCTCATTTGTCACCAACTCTAAGAAGTTTGCTATCAAAGATACATAATGACTGACTATAAAAAAAAAGTTTACTATCGTAGGCATTAACATATATGACTGACTGGTTGGATGTATTAAAATATAATTATTGGTGGAGTGAAGATCAGCACAGATATAAATTAGAAATTATCCATGTATTCAGAAATTATCACTGTGAACTTTATGATCTGTGAAAACAGTAAATAGTAAACATCAGTCATACTAATAGCCTCTTTACAGATCTCTTAAAAAAAAACAGGGGCTGGGGCCAGTAGATGGCATGGTGGTTGAGAGCAGTGGACTTCCACATGGCTGACCATGGTTCAAGCCCTGGACCCGGCGGCTTGCTTTCACACTTCCGTCTCTTTCTCTCTGTTCCTATCTGGTCAAATTAAAATAAAATAAATAGAAAAGTTAAATAAAAATAACTCTTTAAAGAAAATAATAAAAAGGCAGGGACTAGTCAGTGGCATGGTGGTTAAGGAGCTAGACTCCCATATGGCTGGCCATGAGTCAAGTCCCAGACCTGGTGGCTTGAGAGTCATGCCAGGTACATGTGCATGCATGCCCCACATCCCAGAGGATAACAGAAGAGATTGTGGTCTGGCCATCCCTCCTGGGGGGATGATTTCTCACTTTCCCTCTCTCTCTCTCTCTGGCAAGTGCACGCATCCTATGGCAAAAACGTAAAGAAAAAAAAAGAAGCAGCAGCAGTTGTTTTTATGAAGTCCAAGAATAGTTAAATATAATCAACCAAAAATCATCTGAACACACACAGTTTTTAAAAACAAAATGTTGATCATACTGTATAATACGCCCTAATAATAATAATTTCCTTGATTAGACCTAATCTTTGACTTGCCTCTTTGTTTTCTTTCTCCCACAAAGAGGAGAAAAAAATAGTGGCCTTTGTCTGCTATTTCCTTCTTCCTCCCTTCTTTAGCCTTGTTTTTTTGGTTTTTTTGTTTGTTTGTTTTGTTTTGTTTTGTTTTGTTTAATTTCTCTAAATTTCTTTGTTAGATATCTAATTTCTGGCTTCAGTTTTCCTTGTTTTATCTCCATTTAAACCTGTTAAGTTGCTCTTCTGACCCTTAAACAGAACAACTATGTTTTATAGAATTTATGTGCAAACAAATAATATTCTTTTGACTTTTCAGAATTTTGTATGGCCGAATGAAGAATAAGACTGGAAATAAAACTCAAGGGAAATCCGCTTCAGGAACTCGCACAGCCATTGTCCTGCGGTTCCTTGCTGGGACCCAACCTGAGGAGATCCAGATATTCTTAGATCTGCTGTTTGAACCTGTGAAGCACTTCAAGAATGGTAGCTGTCAACACCCTGTCACTCTAAATGCTGTCTGAATGCTGAAGACTTGTACTGGCTTAGGCTAGGTTTCCTCTGCTCCTGGACATCTTACTCATTTTAAGCTTTTTTTTTTTTTTTGACATATTTTTTTGGTGAGAGAGAGAAATAGACATCCCAATAGGATTTTTATGCCATGATCCACCTGGTCTCCGCCGGCTCATATTATAGGCACTCATATGTACCCAGCACATTCAAAGGAGGTCCGGGAACATGTTCCAGACCTTTTCCATGTCAGTCCAGTTTCCGTATCATGTACCACCGCCTGGCTGCTCATTTAAACTTTGATTAAAGTAGGTGAAGCTCACAGCTGACCCTGGAGATTATCAGCACCCAACAAACCCCTGATTAAAGAAGGTGTAATTATTTTGTTGTAACTTTAGGTCATTTGAAAAATGGCTAGTACTTACTTATATGTAAAGTAGGAGCTTCTTCTAAGAAATGTAATTCATGCTGCAAAATCAACCCTAAATGTGTTGGCATTTATCAGTTCATTGAGTCATTCATCTATAGAGTAATGACGTTGAATAACAACTTCTATGCCCTATGTACTCTGCTATATTGAAAATAAAAAAGGGAGTATTTACAGTTGGCCCGTAACCTCACAGTCTATATGCAGTCGAGGTAATAATGCATGCAATGAGCTGTAATGCTCTGTGGGATGTCCTATCATATGTAGCATTAGTAATTATTACTAATGATAATATGTAGCATTTATTGTGTGCTTACTTTATGGGAGACATTATGTCAGATCCACTTTCAGACAACTCAGTATAACTAATCTATACTACAACCAACTACATGAACTATTATTACTTAAGTGACCCTATTGTACCAATGAGGAAACTGGGATGTGATGAGATGAGTATTTTACCTGTGGACACTCGGCTGGAAAGTGGTAGAATTAGGATTCAAACCGAGATCTTTCTGACCATAAAACTTGTGCTTCAGTCCCATGATACTTTAATGTTTAGCTGGATATAGTTTTTTTGTTTGTTTGTTTGTTTTTTGTTTTTTGTTTTTTTTAGGGATGCTATATTACATTTGTTTTATATTTTCTAATCTTTTTCTGTGATAATAGGATCAGCTATTACATAGGGTTACATTCAGTTTAATATTATTGTATGAGGAAGATTGGCTCTGATGGTTCTAGAGCTTTTCATTCTTTGCAATATCCCACTTACAGGAGGGTAGATAATAATGATCCTCTTACAGATGGGCCATTCAGCTGAACGAAGCAGTGTGCTCATCATCTCACGTGAGATGGTTTGAAATTAAGTTTAAGCAACAGCAAATTCAGATCTTTTACATAAATTCTGAAATCAACATAGCAGCTATTTATGACTGTTGTTTTACTTATCCATCAGGTTCTATAGGAGAAATAAAACCTTGATTCTCAGCCTTCAAGGAGCTTATCTGCTGTTGTCTGCCACACTCAGCATAGGGCAGCGTTGTCTGCTGCACTCAGCGTAGGGCAGTGGAAGCTGACTGAGAAAAATGTATGGAAAGTTGCCAGATGCAATAAAATAACAGAGTTTCAGAAACAGTGTAAAGAGGATGAGAATTGGCCTTAGAAATTTAGTTCTGCCACATTTCTTATTCTCTCGTATTCTCTTTTCCTCATTTATGAAGTAAGAATAGTAAAACCTGCCTTACCTAGCATACTGAATATTTGGTAAGAATTAGAAGGAAATAATTGATGAGAAAAATGCATTGTCAGGACCAGCAGATGGCATAGTGGCTACGTTGCTGAACTCCCATGTAGTCAACTGCTGTTCGAGTCCCGGACCTGGTGGCTTAAACTCACACCAGGCGCATGTGCATGCATGCCCACCCAAGATCCCAAGAGGAAAATGGAGGAGAAGGGATTGCAGTGTGGCCATCCCCCTGGGGGGCAATTTCACACTTCCTGGCTTTCTGTCTGTTTCTATCTTTCTGGCGAGTGCACATGTCCTATAGCAAAAACCTCTCCCAAAAAAAAAAAAAAAAAAGGCATTGTCATCTGTAAATCATTTATAGCAAAAGAACATACTGTATTGAGAGAAATTGAAAAGAAGCCAGAATTACAAATAGTAACTAACTAATGTTTCATTTTACATGAAACCTTTTCCTTTTTGTCTCGCCAGGAGAATGCCATTCTGCAGTCATTCAAGCAGTAGAACATTTGGATTTATCTAAAGTTCTTCCTTTGGGTCGTCAGCATGGTGTCTTGAATAGCCTTGAAATAGTATTGAAGAACATTAGTCACCTGATCAGTGCATATTTACCAAAGATTTTGCAAATTCTGCTCTGTATGACAGCAACTGCATCACGTATCCTTGACCAACGAGAACAGGTGAGAGATTTCCTGTGGGCTCCATGTTCTCAGGGCAATGAATCTGTGATTTACTAACATCCTTCCAGGTTAAAGTCTTTTGTATAATCTTTTGAAAATGTCTCCTTAAATCAATCTTTCATGTAATAGAAATCTTTATTCCAGATATTTTTCAAGACTAGATTATGCAAATTGCATCAAGCGTATTAACAGGAAGTGGAATGGTAGAGAGTGGATTACTTCTATATACTTCTCAGAAACTCAAGTCAGAGGTGCTTAAACTGACATTTTTTAGATTTTAATTTCAAGAGCCTAGACATGTAGAGTATCTTCTAACTCTCATTTCACAGTTACCATCATTCTTGTAATTTTGAAACAGAGTAGACCGAAGTTCTTTAAGAAGTTAATGATTGAGGGGCCTGCAAATGGTGCAGTCGTTAAGGTACTAGACTCCTATATGGCCATCCATGGTTTGAATCCTGAACCTGGTGGCTTGAAAATCACACTGGGTGTATGTCTGTGTATGCATGCCCAAAGTCCTAAGAGGAGAGGAGGACAAGGGATTGCAACCTGGACATCTTCCCGGATGGTGACTTGTCACTTTCCTTCTTACTGACTGACTGTCTCTCTCTCTTTTCCCATGAGTGTATTGCCCTATGGAAAAAGAAAAGCTTTAAAAAAATAAATGATTGCCTACAATAAGTGCAATCTTTTGCGTAGAGATAAGCAGGAAGATTGGATAAGACAAGCCAGATGGCCAGCTGCCAGGAGGTGCTCAGTAAATATTTTCTGAATTGTATTCAAGACAATATATTTATGTTCTGTTGACACGACTGTGGAGACATGAATGCAGTCTTTGCAGCTTAGAGAAACAATCCATACTGTCTTTATAGACTGATTTCGTTACTTAAAGGTATAGCCTCAGATTTCTGCTGTTGACTCTCAGTTAATGACAAATAGACACAGTTGCATTTAGCTCAGATTTATTTCATTTGATTTATGATCACACCTGGTGAACTGCCTCTCAGATATGTTCATGTTAAGTAAAAATTAGTAGCCAAAATTTTAGGCTGTTTTGGGGGACTATTTGTGGATATAAATCTGCTTTAGTGATGAAATAATATTCTCTGATTTCCAAGATCTAGAGATTTAGAACACACCTATTTTGGTAGCTACCTTTGTTTTCCTCATACTTCCACTTACTCCTTCAGTAAGTATTTATTGATCCCGTATGCTATACCAGGCACTGTTCTGAGCACTGGAAACAGAGCAGGGAGCAAAGCAAACACAAAGTTCTGTCCATTTATGTCCATTTATTTACCCAATAAGTACTTACTGAGCACCTCCTATGCATAGCCAGACTTTGTTGCAAGTGGGGAATGAGACATGGAAGGACTCAGTATCATGGGAAGAAAAGTAATAAAAAAAATACCAGTCCTTAGAATAATGTCAGCTGGTGCTAATTTTTTTGTTCTTGTTGTTGTTTTTTGGGAGAGGTTTTTGCTATAGGGCATGTGAGCTCGCCAGAAAGACAGAGAGAGACAGAGAGACAGAAAGCAAGAAATCACCCCCCAGTGGGAATGGCCACACCACACTCCCTTCTCTTCCATTCTCCTTTCAGGATCTTGGGCACACATGCACATGTACTTGGTGTGAGTTTAAGCCACCAGGTTCGGGACTCGAACCATAGTCGACTACATGGGAGTCCAGTGACATAGCCATTATGCCAACTGCTGGTCCCCAGCTGGTGCTAAGTTCTGAGAGAACAGTGAAATGAGATCCCTATGTAGGTCTCAGATCTTCATTATCTGTGCAGCGCTCCCCTTTCCAGTCCTCTGCCCTGTGAATTCTAGCTGCTTTGGCTTCTCTAGGCTGCCCAGTGCTTATCTCAGTATCCCTGGAACCCGCCTGACCCCTTCCTTCCTTTGCTAAGGCATGAACACACTACATGCTGTAAGCTGGGGAAATTGTAGGGCTTATTTCAGTTTCTTCTCTTTGCCAGGGCTTCTGGGCCTCTGCTGCTTAATATCCTATGTCTGAAAATTTTAATATGTTTTGTTCAGTCTTTTAGTTGGTAAAGAGAGGAGAGTAAATCCAGTCCCTCTTACACCATCTTAGCTGGAAGGAGAAAAATCATCAGAAAGGAGCAGGAGGAACGGCTCTGAGACCAGCACAGGGCTGGGAATAGCTCACATTCCCAACAGCCAGAGTAGAAACCTTGTCGTACATGTGACACCAGGTAATCTTCGTAAGGGTATTGCCTCAGTAGAAGAGCCATGTTAGCCTTAGAGCAAAGGCTGTTCTGGACCTATCTCACGAAACATAAAGAGATAAAACTTTTCTGAGGTAAATTAACTGCATTTCAGAGCCAAACTTGAGAACTTTTAAGTAATTTTAATGAAAATAAAATTTACAGTGTTTGACATCTTGTTGAATATTACCAGACATGCAAAGGAAGAAGAAAATTTTACCCATGATAAGAACAAAAACCAGTCGGGACCAGCAGTTAGCGTAAGGGCTATGTCGCTGGACTCCCACATAGTCAACCGCGGTTTGTGTCCCGGACCCGGTGGCTTAAAACTCACACTGGACGCGTGTGCGTGCGTGCCCAAGAACCCAAGAGGAGAACGGAGGAGAAGGGATTGCGGCGTGGCCATCCCGCCTGGGGGGTGATTTCTCGCTTTCTGTCTCTCTGTCTGTCTCTCTCTGTCTGGCGAGCGCACGCGCCCTATAGCAAACACCTCTCCCAAAAAAGAAAAAAAAAAAGAAAAATCAGTCAATAGAAGCAGATCCAGAAATGATACAGATGAGATAAAAAAAATTAGACAAGGATGTTAAACCACCTATTAAAAATGCACTTTATGAATCGGAGAAAGTAGAAACAAGCCTGAGCTTGTGAAGGAGAGCCATGGAAAATGTGAGAACTTAGCATAAGATGAGGGAATATGGTATAGCAGAGTGGGGGTAGATGAAGTGCTCCTTCTACTAGTGTGGTCAGGGTCCTCTCTAAGCAGGTGGTATTTGGGTGGTCAAGGTCCTCTAGAGAGGTGGTATTTGGGCTTAAACCTACCCAGCCATGGAATAAATACTTCAGTCAGTGAAAATGCCTAGTGCAAAGTCCCTGAAATGGGAACAGGCTCTCTACGCTCTTAAAACAAACAAAGGTAAGATGACCAGAGCACAGTGAGCAGGAACGGTTGTGTAAGATGAGGGTCAAGAGGTAAGTAGGGGACCAACAGCGTAATGGCTATGTTGCTGGACTCCCATGTTCGAGTCCTGGACCTGGTGGCTTAAACTCATGCCGGGTGCGTGTGCGTGCATGTCCAAGATCCCGAGAGGAGAGTGGAGGAGAAGGATTTGCGGCATGGCCATCCCCCCTGGGGGGCTGATTTCTCACTTTCTGTCTCTCTGTTTCTCTCTTTCTGGCGAGTGTTCGTGCCCTATAGCAAAAACCTCTTAGGAAAAAAAAAGAGGTAAGTAGGGTGGGTTCTCAAGGACCTTGCAGGCTGTGATGAGCTGGAATTACTTCTGAGTTTACTGAGAAGCTGCTGTGAGGCTTGAAGCAGGGTAGTGGTGAGGACTATAATTTTTTTTAACTTTTTAAAATAATTATTTATTCACTTAATTTAATTTGTTATTGTTCTTTTTAATTTGGTCAGAGAGAGAGAGCGAGAAAGTGAGAAAACAAGCTGCCAGGTCCAGGACACAAACTAACCATGGTCGGCCATAGGGGAGTCTATGGCCTTAACCACTAAACCACCTGCTGGCTGGCCCTAAGGACTGTAATTTTTAAAATAATTGCCTTAGTTGCTTTATGGAAGAGACCTGTGGGAGGCCAAGAGTAGAAGCCAAAAAGAAGTCTTAGGAAATTCTTAGGAGCTTAGGAATCGTAGGAAGAATTATATGAGAATTTTATGCCTTGCTGCAAGTGATAATAACTTTATCTGTATTTGCATATAGTGAGTCATGAAAGGTGAGAGGTGTTATAAAGCCTGTATAAGCCCTTTGAATTTTCAGTTAACTTGGAAGTTACTCAGTAATGCAGTCTTACTCCAAGTCAGCAATCAGTGGCTTGGAGGATCATTGATGCAATTTCACAGTCCATTAGTTAGTGAGGTGTTAAGCTTGTTGACAGATGTGATGAGCAGCCTTCTTTTTCTTTTTTAATTCTTAGACAAGTCCAAGAAATTCCTTTAAGTGCCATATGAATTATTGCATAGTAATTTTGCCTAAGTGAGTTAAAGTTCTACTTTTAAATGTTTCAGTTCGGTTATACATTTACTTTTATATGTCTTTCGTGCCCTTCAGAGAACTAACACTGAAACAGGTCTTGTGAAGGTTGTTGTTGGCTTTGTGTTGGTAGGATTTTTTTGTTTTTATTTTTTGTACAATTTAAGCAAATAGAGTGTTATTGTTTTTTGAGAGGTTTTTGCTATAGGCCGCGTGCACTCGCCAGAAAGATAGAGACAGACTGAGAGAAAGCGAGAAATCACCCCCTGGGCAGGATGACCACGCTGCAATCCCTTCTCCATTCTCCTCTCAGGATCTTGGGCATGCATGCACATGTGCCCGACATGAGTTTAAGCCACCGGGTCCGGGAATCAAACTGCGGTCGGCTACATGGGAGTCCAGCAACATAGCCATTATACCAACTGCTGGTCCCAAATAAGGTAACTTGTAAACATACATCAACTCAGTCATATTGGCCTCCCCTAGGAATTATAGTCTACAATGGCTTGTTTCCAGGGTTTTTTTTCCCCCTTTTAGAGAGAGAGAATTTTGCTATAGGGCATATGTGTTTGCCAGAGAGACAGAAATGAGAAATCACACCTCAGGGCAAATGGCCATGCCTCAACCCCTTCTCCTCCATTCTCTTCTCTGGATTTTGGGCACACACACACACACACACACCCAGTGTGAGTTTTAAGCCGCCAGGTCTAGGACTTGAACTGCAGTCAACTACATGACAGTCCAGTGACATATCTATCTGCTTTTCCACCAGGGTTTTTTCCTCTGGTTCGTTCAACAGTTGCTGAGTAAACCAAGCAGCTGGCACTATAATAGTTATAAAAATGATTACAGAGCCTTCAGATCCTACCCAAGGAGGATGGAGTAGGAGTTTTGTCGTATTTTATATGATGTTTGCTACAGCTTTATAATGTTCCAGATGATCGCGATGCCATGTTTTTTTTTTCAAAAATCAGTGATAGTTTTTGAAGGGACCAGCAGTTAGCGTAATGGCTATGTCGCTGGACTCCCATGTAGTCGACCGTGGTTCACGTCCCGGACCCGGTGGCTTAAACTCACACCGGGCGCGTGTGCGTGCGTGCCCAAGATCCCGAGAGGAGAGTGGAGGAGAGGGGATTGCGGCGTGGCCATCCCCCCTGGGGGGTGATTTCCTGCTTTCTGTCTCTCTGTCTCTCTCTGTCTGTCTGGCAAGCGCACACGCCCTATAGCAAAAACCTCTCAAAAAAAAAAAAAATCAGTGATAGTTTTTTATCTTTCACTAAACATGGTACAGCTGACAATGAAAATCCTGCTCATAGAATCAAAGCAGAACAGCATGGCTTGGAAGCCTGTCACCTTGTGCTTACCTATCATTCCCTTTCTCTGTAAACTGCATGAGATAACTAGCTAGAAGTAGATGGTAAGAAAGACAGCATGGTTCTTCAGGCTTGCACAGCCAATTAATGGCATCTTTGTTCATGTTCACTTCAATTTAAAATGGATTATTTCACACTCAGGTACCTCTGTTGGTCAGAGTGTCAGATTTCATGATACATAACTTCCCTATTTTCTTCATGATATCTTGGCAGTAAGACTTGATATTCACTGGAAGAGAGCATTTGTGTCTTTACATTTCAGGATGGCTTTTCAAGTCGATCTATGTAATTAAGGTCATATGTAAAAATAAGTTGTCTCTATGTATCTAAAGCCCACAGTGTATTAACCAAGTGGGAAAACAATTGGGGCTTGACCCTTTCCCCATCCTTTTTTTTTTTTTTTAAGAGAGATTTTTGCTGTAAGGTACGGGCACTCACTGGAGAAACAAAGAGAGACAGACAGAAAGTGAGAAATCACCCCCTGGTTGGATGGCCATGCCGCAGTCACTTCTCCAGGCTTCTCTAGGGATTTGGGGCATTCGCACACATGTGCCTGGCATGAGTTTTAAGCCTCCAGATCCGGGACTTAAACCGGAGTCAACTATGTTGGAGACCAGCAACATAACCATTACACCATCTGCTAGTCCCTGATTTTTACAGCATTCTGTACTTAGAAGAAATCTGAGGCCTTTGTCTCTCCTTTGCCTGGCCTAAACCTTTTGATCTTTAATGTGTCCTGGAAATGTCTCTTTTCCATGAATCTTCACTCTCTTCAAATGTATAGAAGTTCCTTCTCTAGTGGATATCTTTGGCATTTTCAGTCTCTCACATACATTTAATAATTTGGCCTTCAATAAGACTTTCAGTTGACATCGGGGCTGTGTCTGGCCGTTGGACTATTGCTTGGGAACTCAGTACCTTGTTCTACTCTGAGCTGAACAAATAGGATGCATATCTGTGACTTTTATAACTTATAGGGAAGGCGAGGCCAGTGGAAGTAACAATGTCTGTTATAAGACAACATTCAGGGACCAACAGATAGCGTAATGGTTATGTCTCTGAACTCCCTCATGGCTGACTGCGGTTCGAGTCCCAGACCCGGAGGCTTGAAACTCAGGCTGGGCACATGTGCGTGTGTGCCCAAAGTCCCAAGAGAAGAATGAAAGAGAAGAGATTGTGGCAATATAAGAATGAAAGAGAAGAGATTTTGTCGTGGCCATCACCCCTGTGGAGGGGTGATTTCTCATGTTCTGTCTCTCTCTCTTTCTGTCCCCCTGGAGAGCACAGGTGTCCTATAGCAAAAATCTCTTTTAAAAAAGGAAAGGAAAGGGAAGGTTCACTATTAATTCAACTCCACTCCAGTCTTGGTTCCTCTAAACAGACACATCTTATTTTTTTCCTAATTGTATTTCCTTTGATACAGTGGTGTGTGTGTGTGTGTGTGCACATGTGTGCATGCTCACATACAAATAAAATATATTTTCCATAGTTTGATTCTTTCACCTCAAATCTTACTGCACAAAGTATTTCACCATATGGAAAGATAATAAATTTTTTATTTTGCTATAGGGTGCATGTACTCACCAGAGAGAGAGAGACAGAGAAAGAAGGAAAGTGAGAAATCACCCCCTCAGTAGGCATGACCATGCTACAGTTGCTTCTCCTCCATTCTCCTCTCGGGATTTTGGGCACACATGCACAATGCCCGGCGTGTTTTTCAGGCTGCTGGGTCCATGACTTGAAGCGTGGAGTCAGCCATGTGGGATCCGGTGCCTTAGCCACCACGACAGCTGCTGGCCCCATGTTTTTAATTAAGGACAACTGTTAGGATTTTGATGGACAGTCAAATTCATCTGTTTTTCCTGTGAGAGAAACAGAAAGAAAAAAACCCTACAGGGATTTGATGCTGCAGCCCAATCCCTGTCTCAGCCAGCCCCAGAAGGTGGATATGTGGGTTCTCCATGTGCTCGGTAAGTTCTCTGGAGTGGGAATTCAGAACTCTCCCAGGTGCATCAGCCTCCTAGAACACTGAGTTTTACTTGTGTGCCACTGTCCAGCTGCACCATTTGATTTTTTGTAACTCTCTGCTTTTCTTTCTTGTTCAATAAAAGATATGGCTTGCTTAGTTGATATTCCTTGTAACTCAAAGTCAACAGGTTTGATAACAGAATTTCTGCTCAGATTCTTAGCCATGTAAGTAAGAGTGTTCTCTGAGGAGTCAGTAATGAAAAACTATATATATATATGATGTATTTATATATATATATAAATATGTATTTATATATATATATATGATGTGGTTTTTTTTTAAATAGAAGATCTTTGTTTTACAGATACAACTAAGGTTTATTAACCCACTAAAAAACTTAAGACGTCTTGGAATCAAAATGATAACTGATATCTTTCTGGACTGGGAATCCTATCAGTTCAGAGCAGAAGAAATCGATGCTGTGTTTCATGGTGCAGTTTGGCCCCAGGTAAACCTCGATTTCTACATTCTGCCCAGACACCTTCAGTTTATTCTTTTGTTCGTTTGCCAGCATAGTCTGTTCACCACAGTTCACCATAGTTCAGATGTGAACCCATGTCCTAGTCTTTTATGTTGAGCCTTTATTTTTGAATGTTTTTAGAGCACTTTTCCTTGCCCCACTGTCACCTGAGGCCCAGGAGTTTATTTCTGCAGTACCAGGGCACTTGGACTTCCAGCTGGTTGGAATGTGATAGTCCCCCGTAAGCACAACCTTCCTAGCACCTCCCGGAACATTACCTCTAGCTTTTGACAAGAGCGAGGGCACGTACATGGGTGTTTTTGTCATCTATTTCCTTGTTTGATTTCTCTGGTTATAACCACTTGGTGGTGATAACTGGTGTAGGTATAGCTAAGAAGACTCTAGGAGAGACTTGACTTTAGGAAACAGTTTTAACTGCTTGAACCATCAGTCATTCCTATTTAAAACCTAGAATATTTGGTTCCTTTCAACAGACTAGCACTTCTATGTACGGAGTTTGCCATTTTTCTTGTAGAGATATTATTTTAATCCCTTCGTGTTTTTCCTCAGTCTGCCCTTTAAATGTTAATCTCTTGTTCCTTGGTCTTTTCATCCCCTGGTGTGGTTTTCATGCTTGTTCTTTTTGGTTTTTATTTCTATGATTCTGTACATGCTTTTATTTGGTGTTCTGTTTTTATTTTGTCTCCTAGATCAGCAGGCTTGGATCTGAGAGTCAGTATTCGCCTACTCCTCTGCTGAAACTAATTAGTGTCTGGAGTAGAAATGCAAGGTATAAGCTTTTTTAAAAAAATCCTTTGGAAAGGGCAACATTTTAGGTCTAACAGTGGTGGCATAGGCTGCTCAGATACTGTGTTCTACCGCCCACGACTACATGGGTTTGATTCCCAGTCGCACCTAAAAACCAGGCACAGTGATATGCACCTGTAACCCCAGTGACTTAGGGAAGTTAAAGCAGGAAGATCATAACATAGTGAGATCCTATCTCTGGGGAAAGAAATAAAAACCAGCAATGTTGTATAATAATTTCTTCAAAACTAACCTAGAGAATGACTAATATAACGTATGGTCTTTCCATTCAGTGAGCTACTTTAGATCCAGTTAGAGAAAAGGCAGCTAAGTAAAAAAATGGAAAGATCTTGATCCAGCAGGTGGTGGGTGATGGTTAAAGCTTTGGATCCCACATGTCCAACTCCGTGGTTCAAGTCTTGGACCTGGCAGTCTGAAAAACATACCAGACGTGTGTGTGTGTGTGTGTGTGTGTCTGTGTCTCCAAAATACCTAGAGGAAAATAGAGGAGAAGGGATTGCAACATGGCCACCTCCCTAAGGGGTGGTTTCTCAGTTTGCCTCTCTCTCTGGCAAGTGCTTGTGTCCTATGCCTATGTACACCCATAAATACCCATATATATGCCTATATATATATATATATATATATATGAAGGAAAGATCTCAGAATACTAGTGTGATTCACGTAGAATACTTTTAGGTGTGTGTAGCTAAATACAAAATATTTAGAAGGATACATGAAAAACTGCTAGTAATCTTATCATAAGCATGTGGAGTTTTGGATGGACCAGAGTGGAGGAAGGAGACTTCATGATACATCTCTTGGAGTGTTTCAACTATTTAGAATAATATAGGGAAAGTAATAGCGTACATTTTAATGTAAATCAAAATGGTACAGTATATATTACATTACGACTTAAATACTCTTGTGATTTTTAGTTTGAGTAAATGTAAAGATTAGAAGTATTAAAATTAATTGTTTTTTTT